AATATAACTTCAAGCTTTGAAATGAATTATTTTCACAAAAAGAAATGTTTAGTACAAAAAATATTACAATATATAAATTCAAATTTATTACGAACTTTATTTTATATTTCGTAAAATTATTTAATATTTCATATTAAAAAAGTAAAGAGAGGATTACCTTTCAACAAAAATGCTTTTATGCTTCGTTGATTGCCACGATGATTGATCCGATCAATGCTGAGACAGAGACATTATTAATTCGGATTAGTTTAGGGAAATTTAAAGAGTCTATTGGTTAAGTACCACTGCTTTGTCCAATTAGAGCTCTGATCATTTGTCGTAATATCCAGAAGATTTTAATTTTAATTTTTAATGTACTCCGACTATGTATTCCGTTGTAGATAAATATTCAAATTTTTTACGAAGATAAATTGTTAGTATATATAACACATTATTGTCAAGATGTAAAGATGAAAAGATGTAACACTTAAAAAATAGAATGAATCAGAAAGGAAACAAAATATTGTAATTACATTTTTTATTATTTATTAACTTGCCATAAATAAACGTCATTTAGTCAACTATAACATTTTCAAAAAACTTATCTAATGTCACATTTGTAAGAATTAGACGATCATAAGCGGTCATGAAAGAGATTCGGAATATAAACAGCTAACAGAGAGGAGCCGTCGTGGTCGTGCAGACTAAGTGTCGGATTGGTAGACGAGGGATCCCGAGTTCAAATCCAGTCGGTCTCCGTTAATTTTTTCCGAATCTAATAGATATCTTTCACATTTAAAATAGTTACCATTTCCACCATTTATTTTCTCTTTATCAGATTCATTACCTAAATTGTGATTTGTAGTTTCTATTAAAGAACGTTTCTTTCCTGCAAAATTTGATGTATAAACTTCTTCGTTAGATGCAAACTCAATTTAATAACTCATACTCTTCGATTAATTGCAGCTCATCACTTTGGACGTCTTCAAGCGAGCTTAGCTCTCAAAGCTGGCTTACTTCTTATGCTCCTGTTTGTTTGAAATACAGACACTAAGATTTTTTAAAAGAAAGTTTATATATTTCAAATAAATTAATAAATTGTTGCAACTTATAATTATTAGTAATTGTCTTTCTTATTGCCATTGATGTATTTATTCTTTGCACGAATAGGAATATCCTAAGTTCGTACCTCTTTATTTTGCTAAATATTAAGGTTACATTTACAATCATGAAGTTGCCTTCAGTTTAGTTTTTGGAATATTTTGATGTGAATAAGTCTTCACTGTTTTTAGTTATGTCACTAATAATTTCTTTCGCCGCATGATCGCAGTGAAAATGACAAACGGTGAAACCGTGAGATAGCCATCGGTGAAAATCTAAAAGTAAACTGTCACTGAAAAATATGTAATCGATGCCCTAGTGCAGCTCTAGTGTGAGAATAAAAAACAAACCCCAGAGGGTCAATCATGTAACTTTACGTGAAATTTTTATGTGAAATTTTTCACTTTTCATTTTTCACTTTTTACTTTTCATTTTTCACACTTTGACTTTTCACGTACAGCGATTATGTATGTAGCTTGAATGCGTGGAAAGTGAAATCATGAAATATAGTTTCATAGGTTTTATAGCTAATGAAAATTATTTTATTGGTATTATATACATCTTTTAATAACCAATTGTATATGTATGTATTACGTACACTTAATCCTAATGCAGCCCTAATTTTCTCTAATTCCAAAGCATGTTTATTAATTCCCTAGATTTCCGCCTTTCCGCCACTAAGGTACATGGCGAAAAAGTTCACGTGAAAAATTTCATATTTTCACGTTTGAGAGAGTTACATGATCCCGCAAAATCGTACATGATCATAAGTTCACGTGAAACTTTTCACTTTTCACATTTCCGCCCTAGGGGAAAAGTTACATGATCGACCCAGGTCTTGAGATAGTGCAGAGGTGCAAGTACAGTCTCGATAAGTGATTTATAAATCAATTTGAATTATAAATATTTTTCATAAAAGTATTATAAAAAATTAAGTGCATCTATGGCTGAACCATGAACC